ACTTCCACAGGGACTGGTGATTCCCAGAAATGCTCTGGGTCACCAAGGCCTGTGGCCTGGCCTCGAGGGCCACTCCCACAGGGAGTGAGGATGCCTCAGAGAAGCTCTGGGTCCCCAACTCCTGTGGCCTGGCCTCGAGGGATCTTGCTACAAAGAGAACTCTCGGAAATGCTTCGGGTCAGTAAGGAATGAGTTGGCTGCGAGGAGACTCCTCACAGCACCGCTCTGTCCCGTCCTGTCCAGACGCGTGCTCCGAGCACAGTGACGTGGCCGTGTCGCCGCCAACACCAAGATCACGGCGTGTCACAAAGGGCCTTGGACACCCTGCCCTGTCCCATCCCATCGACAACGGCCACTGTGTCACAAAGGGCTCTGTGACACACGGCCACGTGCCCTGGGGCCTCCCCCAGCATGGCCAACCTGCCCCAGGTTGGAAGGAATGCATTCCTTAAAGCATCTGAGACAGCTGGATGTGAAATTTAGGCACGGTTCCAAAAAGAAGCAAACACTCCCCTCATGTGCCTGCTCATGGCAGCAGAAGGAGTCCCCTCTGCTGCCGACACAGCCACAGCAGGAAGGTCATGGGGCCTCCACAGAAGCTGGCACGGCCTCCTTGGGAGAAGTCCTGCTGCTGGCCATCATAAACACAGGGTGGGTGACACACCGAAACGTGTGGGAAGGGCCTGATGCTGCTCTGACCCCTTTGGTTTAGGTTGCAGCAAAATCAGCAGCTCTGACAAGTTCCCGCCCAAAGAGACCTGCCACCGCCCTGAGTCCTGCCAGGGGTAGTGCCCATCTCCTGCCCCAAAGACCTGCACCCCTGGGGACTTCCCTGCCAGAGGGCAGTCAAAGCTAACAGGCATTGATGACTGTGCTCTTGCAGGGGGCTGTTGGGAGGAGCGTCTGCAGCAATTTGTGGCAAGGCTTGGCATCTGTCAGAAGGCAGAAGTTGTGGCTCCTTGCTGGAATGATTTCTTCATGGAAGTGATTACCTGCAGCACAAAAATATCTTTGCTGTGAAGGCATAGAAGAATCTGGCATTTAATAATCTTGCATTCAAGAGAGCATTACTTCCCATTACTCAACACAGGGAGTTCAAAGAAGTGGCAAACTTTGCAGTTTAAGTCAATTGGGAGGACCTGAGAACGTCAAAGATTTGGAGTTTGCTTCCCCTCTCCAACCTGCAACTCATTTGCCTTCACACGGTCCATTGAGAGTCAATTTCAAAAACTAAACAGAAGCCAAAAACCTGGGCTGTGTGTGTTTTGCAACAGATTTTCTATTATGGGATAAATATAGAAGTATTCTGGTAAGGGATGAAAACTCTGAAGGAACAAAAGTTCCCTCAGTGTTCCAAAAGCACCCCAAACAAAGCAAGATATTGCAAAACACTAATATTCAAACCAGGGAAAATAAAATTACCCAAAATGATCACAGCTCATGCTAGAATACATTTCAGAAGGAACATCAATGCCCTTCCCCCAGAGCCCTGCCCCGTCCAAAACCCCTCAAATAAATAAATCTTTGAGTCTTTGATGAGAAAAGAGTATTCTGTGTTTACTTGACCATAACTGCTGTTAAAAGACCTGGAGCTGGTCAGTGCTGGACACAAGATAACTGAGCATGTGGTGGCTGGATGCTGTACAGTTTTGCAATTTCTAAGGTGAAGCCTGTGTTCCTCCCCAGGCTGAGCTGTCCTATGTGAGCTGCACAAAATCTTCCACCCTTCTTTTCTCTAGCTAATAGGGACAGATCAAGGAACTTAAGAACCTCGGCAGCAGGCATGTCAGAAATCTAAGAGTCTACCAGGTTTTCTGGTAGAAGGGTTGCTTCCCTTCTTGAGGAAGGAAGAGATTCCTGAAGCTGTTCCACCTGCTCGCTCCACAGGAGGCAAGGGGAAGCCCCCTGCTCTGTCTGAGGCTGGAGGAGCCTTGGCTTGGTGCTCCTGCCAAACTTGGAGCTCTAGTAGAAGAAAAGAGCATGGGGAAGGGGGCAAGGAGGAAAAGGGGTGGGAAAGCAGGGGCAGTCTGCTCTGGCACAGGTAGAATGGGAAAGATGAAGGGTTGAGGTGACAAGAGTGGTCTGGAAAAGAACAAGAAAAGAAACAAGGAAAGAAATACCCTTGCAAAAAAAGGCTGCAAGCTCTCAACCAGCCTGGGCACCATCCAGCTGCACTGGGGTCGTTCAGAGGACCTTATCTTAGGCATTGCAACCTCACTGGGACGATGTCAGCCAAGCAGTGCCACAGAGAAAGCAGGATTGCCTTGTTCCCTACCCACTTCAGCCCATTTTGCTGTGAACTTTGGAAAGCAGTTCAAACTCTTGACATTCCGACTTTATTAACAATTTGCCATCAAAGCCCCCAAGAAACGCGCCGCAATACAAAGCCTGCACGCCGAGTGTTGAAGACGTTAATGAGCTGCAATTCATCATCATGGCTAGGCTTCGTGAACAAAGATTTGGGAAGGGCTCTACCCACGTTTGCTACAAGCGCGCTGATGGCTAAAAAGGCCAATGTGAGATAGACAAGTCCGGTTGCAGAAGGTACAGCAGAAAGACTCCCCAGGTGATATCGACAAGACGTGATTCTTTCTGCATTGTCTTTTCTCCTCGAGAGTGATCCTGCGTGTGTTCTCAAAAGCAGCAGCAGCAG